GGTCCAAATCTGATGCTGATACAAATGCTTCCTATACTCAAACCAAGCTTGGTGAGGTAGTTTTCTATAGTGATACTGAACTAGCAAATAGAAGTTTCTAAATTTTTAGAGATGTATGCATGATAGATGATACAATACACTATAGACTCTAAGGATTAATACTGAAATAACAAAATACCTTAAAAGCTTATTCAAAACACTGTAACTTCTTTGTATTTACTTGGGATGGTCAACTCTAATATTGACATTTTTGTACTACTGACGGTTTGTAATTTCATAAGAAACCTTAGTTTCGATGTTTCAACTGAGAAAATGATTGTTATATTCAAATAAGCTGTATTAAATTTTAACCAGAAAAATGTTCTGGAATGGTCTGGTCTTCATCCTTGTTGGACAGTATCAGGTACACTGGTTGAAGGCACCTAACATGCATTACATTTATATATGGTCACATCATTTTTGGCAAGTTGTTGGTTGATAAAATCTTACTACGAAAAGACCGACTAATATTTTGTGTTATTGAGAAAGATTTGTTACTAAGAAAAGTGATCCTGATAAAGTTGAAATTCCTTAGCTGGACAGTTCAATCGTTGAGTTTTCACTGATTTCGTAGACTAAAGAATTATTTTTATCCAATTAAACAGTCAGATAAGTAACATTATGTTGTTTTAGAGTTCTAAATGAGTAACTGGAATCGATCAACATGGTTGTAAAGCATACACTGATTAATATGAACGTGGTATATCTTATGCATTCAAAGTCACTGTCTATCTTGATATACTTTGATGAATGAGGTAACAGCAAGTTAAAACAAAGCCTTAGAGTAGTCAGATAATGGTTGTAACAGAAATTTATAGGTTCGAATATCTTAAGAATGTGTAAACACGTAGCTGAAATTCTTTCTCACTAAAATTAGTCTGTTATAGTTTTTAATGAACTTTATACATAGAAATTACACGATCAGTACAAAAAGCAACGTGATTTTGAATTTTGGGAATCTCGTTACATTCTCATTCATTATCAGTGTTTGCTTGAATTACTGGATCTATGTATTTAAAAGCAAAAAACCATAAACATAAATGAATTTAGTTTATGAAAGTATTATGATCGGTTAGAAGACAATTAAAGAGTTCTTTTCTACACAGTTAAACATTTAATACGAAATAAAATTACACTCAAAATTGCTTGATAATAAATTCGAGATGTTTAATTATGATTTCATTCGATATAACGAGAGAACTAGGCAATATCCTTGAACTCAAATTGTTCGTAAGCATTTAATTCATCACTATAGAGAAACATATACAAAATGGTATAACAGCATAGTAATGCAGTCATTTGAAGCACAAATGAATGAAATGAACTGAAGCTATCTTATAGCGTGTAAATACTGCAGTTTGGTCATTTGATTATCATGTGACAGTCATAGCTATTTAAGTGAACCATAGATTAAAGTCGGAAGTAGTTGTGTTTTTCTTCGTCGAATTTTAATCCTATTTATTAAAGATCGAACAAAACTGGATAACTATGAAGCAGATCAATATTTTAACAACTAATCTGTTAATCCTTCAGTCTTATCGCTCATAGTGTAAATGGTACAGTATCTATTGCGCTGCAAGTAAAATATGGAAGTTAAATTTTGAACAACAATTAGGCACTCTCATCATTGAAGGTTGCCAACATAAACTTTATGTGAAAGGTTAAGCATAGAGAGATTTCATGTTTTTATTTCCTACTCGGTATCTTCGAATAAATAATATTTCTTAAAATTTATTCAAGTATGTATGAGTATCTGCATTTAAATTTGACCTTTTTTGAAGAGTTCTATATTTTAAAAGTGTTGTCTAATTTATTTTCATACTGTTGCAGTTAAATCACAATGTTTTTTGAGAATGAACTTCTCCTGATTACATAACACAATAAATATATATATATACTTTTAGGACTTTATAGGTGAATGTACGTAGATCTTTTGAGTTTTATTTCGGTGGCTCGAACTCGGTACCTTACTTTTTAAACTCTAAAATGCTTTACAGATAGTTATTAGTATGACTTCCAATTCATTTTTTAAAGTTATGATATATTTTTCAAACGAGATGTATATATTTGACTTTATTTTAATTCGTAAAAGATATTTCGGATGTCACAAAATCATTCTAAGATATTATCGACTTTTCATTAGATAGTTAAAAACATTCAAGATAATAGCTGTACTGTGAGAAGTTTGGTAAGTTGAAATGCATTGATGAATCTCATACTTCTTCCTAAAAATTACTGTACGAGAACAGAAACTGGTAAACAAAGCTGTCTTTAAAACTGTAAACTTATAAATTCCACCCATTTACATGTCAAAGTTTTAACGATTTTGATTGGCTGATTGAAACAACTAACTAACTCGATAGTCATTGGTTCAAATTTGAATCGATAAACGTTAAGCCGTATGACAATAATATGGAACAGAAATTATGCCTAAGTGCTAGAGTTAGACAAAAATAGTTTTTGGAATGATTTTCAGCTTTCACGAAATAAGCTTAAATTAAAAACACTAATATCTAGAACAGGCGAGAATTGGGTTAGTGTACTATTATTAAATAACTTGAAATATTGACAATAATCAGTAAATAAACTATTGAAGTTGTTCAGAACTTAAAGCACATATTTTTTCTCAAAATCTAACTCTGGATTGAACTTGTCATTACTTCTGAACCTGTACAAGATTAAACATAATGTCAGAGAAAGATTATTATGGAAACAAAGTTTAACAGTTAATAAATCCATTAACTGAAATTTGGCTACAACCTAGGATTCTGTAGATCGAAAACAATAGATTTTGGAAGTGGTAGTTCTTGAGGACATAAATATCCTGTATTCCGTTACTGAAATAACTCAATGGATTTGTTTTCTGCGAAGTAGAGGTGCCTGCAGTTGGTTACGTAATGAAATAAATTGTTTCCCGTGTAAACAAAAACAGAAAGGCATAATATTATTAGAACATTTTATGTAAATGAATTCAATTTTTGATTTGGGATTTATTTTAAAAGATCACAGTCTTGTGGAACTTAAACACAAAAAGTAAAATTTTCAAGACATTTGTTTTTATAAATACACATACCTTTAAAATTAGTAACAGAGTTTCATAGGAGTATATTTGATTTAGTGGATATAAAACCGTGAGAATGTAGCTGAAGCATTCAAAGAGTAACAACAGAAATTCAAGTATAAGTTTTATTGAGCATAATTAAGAACTAATTCTTAGAGTAATTTGGATAACACTAGTATCTGAGAATAGGTATATACAATGTTTTTAATTTAAAGTACTATTCCATAATAAATTGTTCTAAACCATTTACCGAAATAGTTTTAATCTTAATGATGAAAGGCGGAGTTAAATGGACATACTTTTGCTCATTTTCATGGTTTTGAAAAGTTTGAAAACGTGTTTTGTATTTGAAAAGGACCCATGAGCGTCAGACGACAGAATGTATTTGATACAATTTATCATTTTTTTAAGGAATAATAATGAGTAATTTATCCTTTGTTGCATTGTAGTGAAATACATTACATATGGGCTCATTGGATTAGTCAGAATTTTGGATCGAGACTACAATTTCTAGACTACCATTGAGCGATATTAAAGTTACCTGGAAAAAATTCACCTACTTACTAGGGTCAAAGAGGATTGTAAATTAATATGAGGAATTAGCATTTTCATCATGAATTGAGATCAATTTAATACCAAAATGATATTTAGCCATTCGACTGAATGAATTCTACTCCGAAATCCCAGACTTACTATCTTAAAATTCATTAATTCGTCCATAACTTATAGTTCCTCCACTTGTTTTAAGGAAAATCTCGGATTATTGGTTTATTTCATGCACATCTATTGAACATTCTGAAACATTTGGTTACCTTGAATTATACGGTTAACCATCTCTAAACGGTTTCCTGTAATATGCACTTATAAATGAAATAAATATCAGAGGACGTAAAACTAAACTAGGCACTTATAAAACCACTATATCTGCTTCCATAAATCAAAGTGAGTACATAAATTAGTCAAAAATAATTCTTAGATTATAATGACTTAAGAATAAAGATCTTGCTGAACACGAGAACTGGGACAGATGTGAATACTGATTACGTTTTTATTTAAATGGAATTTTAATTTCATGTTCATAGTATCCTTTATCAGCTGTTTTCTTGGCTAAACAGCTATTTTGTTTGAAAGACTATCCGATTAGAAGTTCATCAGTACATATTAACATAAGAGCGTATCAATCACCAAAGCATTCTAGATTAACCTGCAAACTAGTTTTATATTCCAAATGCCGTTATACTGATCATTTAAATCACATAACCAGTTTTAATAAGTATGTATGACCTTAACTAAAACGAGCAATCCAATTTACAGAATGAAACCACTTATTTTATACGCCTTCTGTGATTATTGATGACAAATTACTGGTTTACAGATAATCTAGCAATGAAATCATTCCGCTCGGAACACCAACCTAGTGTATCGGGCCATTAGGAAGGCCCAAGGACCGATGCGTGTTAATTCGTAGCTATAATTAACGGATAGGACTACATAGATATTATTCTCGTAGCGATTGGCCAATTTGTAGAATATAAAGTTTTAGACCTATTAGGTTAAGCCAATCAGATGTTAGTTACATTGTCTGAGCCTTCAGACAATTTAGATCTATCTGCCAACACAGGTAAAGCAGTTCAAGGTCACTAACGCTTGATTGGTCAATTCACGGAGCCAATTGAGTGATTGACCATAGTCCAATGAATCAAGGTTCAGTTTTCGCTCTCACTGATCATAGTGGTTGACTATCTGGTTGATCTGTTTTTGATTCGTGACTTGATGATTGTAAGGAATTACCGGGTGAATTAGTGTTTGAATTTACAAGATCACTTTGACCTTTATCTTGGTGGAACAAACTGTATCTCGCATTATTTTGACAATTTATCATGCTTTCACCTTTCTGTGTATGAAACCTATTAAAACGTAAGTCTCAGCTTACAGTATTTTTTGTATTATATATTTGCTGGCCTGAGCGACATTTTCATAACTACCTGACTTTGTATTATTATAATTTATTGTGTGTTGTAATTACTCCTATCTCTGCTCGGAATAAATTGGAGAGTGATATATAACTTGTCGAAGTATGTTATTGAGAGATATTTTAATTATAAAAGGACTCTAATTATAATAAGTTGGCTGTAAACTTGAAATTGACATAATGTTTATCATGTTTTCGAAAAGCTTTCGTATTCAAGTGAAATGCATTTATGTGGGCGCCAAACTATTCAGTCCATTTAAGCCTATATTTCGGGGATGTAAACATATGGATATATTTCAGTTCTCAGCGTTCGACATCAAATTAAATCTGATTAAAAGTTGGGTTAGGTATCTCAACTGACAAAACATAGGGTTAGTTGCGTAGGTGCCATTTGCATAAGTTCTCTCGAATTTCGTTTTATTCATTTATAACGTAATCTGTTATACAACAACATCCAACTTATAATAATACTATGTTTTCAATATGCTTAGTTCGATGCAGTTGCAGTAAAACTATCAGTCGGATGAAAGATAGATACTGTACAAATTCGTTACTTCGTTTACATATATTATCATTGCTAGATTATGTGTAAAGTAATATATAATATTTAGAATCTTTATCTGAATTAATTACCATGTGATATGTTCATATTCACCACTATCTGGCAGAATGTTTTTATCTTCGTGTCTGAAGTACTACAGGTCACTGAGATACTATCCACTGTTAGGTTCGCATGAAATCAAAATGCTGAAATTTCCAATATTTTGGAAATTTGTTTGAGGAACAATAAAAAGTTAGTATTTTGTTTTCATCTTAATTTTACTCTATAATTCGTTCAGGAGACCATTCTAAATATTGCAGGTAATTTCGAGATTTAGATTCACTAGTTTATGGTTGACAATATCTAGTATTCTTATGTAAAGCGGTTTCATAGAAATTGTTGCTCAATAATGAAAATAACTAAGAAATCAATAACGGGAATCCGCAAACTATCAATAAGTCGATATCACTTAACGAATCATTGATGATTACGCAATAAATTCACTAATTATCTTGTAAAAATTCTGCTATTAAGCTTATATATTGGATTAGATAATCTACATAAGTGCATCATTTTGACAGAAACATCCTACGGTTTCTTGTTTGATAACTTCCTAGTTAATTGCAAGAGTTGATTTTTTAAATTCACCAGTTATAGTTGTACATTTAGATTACTCAGAGAAGTTTATAATACTTAATAACGTTCTTGTTTGTTGGTTTTAAGATATTATTGATTATTTTTGGCTTTTTTGTCTTCATTCTCCTAAAACTTAGTTGTACAAAAAAATGCCAAATCCCCGGGAATTCATTGGAGCTAGTTCAGGTTCTAGGAGAGGACGTCGTTCATATCCAAAGGTTGAAACTTTGAATAAAGGGTTAAACTGTGAACCTATAATATTTCATCGTGAATATACTAAACGAATTTTACCTCAGTCTTCAAGAGGTAAACCTAGAGGCAAAGCTGGTCGCCCTCGGAAATATAAAGTGGAGGTTTCAAAAATTACCAGGATTCTCCACCTATTTCTGAAACGTTGGATTCATTTGCTCGTTCTCCTAGTCTTTCATCAGATAAAACACCATGTAAACGTCAACGCAGATTGTCAAAAGATGATCCTAATTCTATTCCTCGTCTTACTAGTCAGAAGTCTGATCGATCGAGTATCAAGATCAAGTCAGGTATGAATGAACGTTTTTTAGCTTTATTGACTGCTAGAATAACTTGACCAGTAGTTAATTCAAAAAGCAGAATTAACTTTAGTTCAAGTAGTCGGCTAACCTGTAGCTAATAAACAGAAAAGTGAGTAGTTAATCAGATTAAACCACAATCTGTTTACGATTAAGAATATTGATTCATCTAGTTTACAGCTCAAATAATCTGTTTGGTTAGCTGATAGTGTTTAATTGTTTATAAATCTTGATTGAATATATTTGTGGAGACTAAATTACTCTGAAGAAAACTTTCATTCCTACGAGTTAAAAAACACCATTCCAGTCTAATGGCTTAGAGAAGTTATGTTTTAGTACAAGACATGAATGTGTTGAGTTATATTTTACAAGGAAATCATTAACAAGGGCTGCTCAGGAGTCTTGGATGAGAGTAAACCATATGTGTGATACTCTTTAACTTTTCTTATTTAATTAACTGACATCAGATAATAATTAATCTAATCTTAAAAATTCAATTCACCTCCATTTATTTTTCTTACTAACTTATTTAGTAATATCATATCACATTGACTTATTCATTTTAAATTATTTAGATGAAGCTGTCTACAAACTGTCAGTGTCTCAGTCTTCTGAACGATCAAGTGATGATCCATCTGTTAAAGTTAAAAATTTTACATGTCATGAGTGTGGAATGCAGTTTAAAACTAAAGGAAGATTTGACAAACACATACCTTGTCGCGTACATAGAAATTCTGAGTATTTTCAGAAACCCCATTTAAAGAGAGGCAGAAAATCATTGAATTCAAAGTAAGCTTAGTATATTTTTAGATACAATGTTTACTTTTAACCGGATTGAATTAGTATCAATTGTTGCCAATTACTAGTAATCAGTTAACAAGTATGTGGTGATTGTATCTATCTACGTTAAAATGACAGTATTTGAATTCTAGTTCAAGTGACAAGGCAACATGCAAAATATCCAAAACCTATAGAGCTTTTTTATATTATAGGTTTAACTTCTAAATAATGGAGTAATCTGTATGGTATCTAGTACCATCACTTAAGAGGTAGCTGAGTCGAGATTTTTCATTTTTCTAGAAGTAAAGATCCGAAATATTGTTATACAATGATGAGATATTTTGTCAGACATAGCTCATAATGTAACTGACCTCTCTTTCTTGCTTTTTAATTTCTCATAGATTATCTAGGTCTGTTCTTTGTTTTCATTCTAAGCATATGATTGAAGTGAGTTAATTAACATGAACTGTGAAGTGAGAAATCTCATTTTCACATCATTATACATCAAATAATTTGTTCACACGCTTTGAGTCTCAATAGATTAGTGAGAATGCTTTCATTAAGCCAGGAGCGGTGAATTCAGAGACTTGTGACCATAAACCGATCTCATAGTTTTAAACAAATAATTATAGAAAAGGGAATTCACAGAACAGAAAAAGATTTTATTTTCAAAGATTGTGAATATTTAATGTTGAGAGTGCCCTTATTAATTTATGACGAAATACTTTGTAGACGTAATTTGATTTTATTCGTCAACATATTATTCACAGCTGAAATTAATATTTTTTCTAAAGCAAGATTTTATTTTACTAAGATCACAAACAGATCTAAGTTAGGTAACCATTAAAAACTTAGGAGTACTGGGCAGCCATTTCATTCTAGTATAGGACTCCTCACCAGTCCGCGTCCCAGACCGTACAACCGGGAATCGGTGTGCCATATTGTTTTTTTAACTTGGAGTGATTGGTGATCTCGGTAAAATTTAATAAGCTTATAATTCCATATTGATAAATATTTTACTTAATAAAATACAATATATCTTCGTAATTAGATTTAACAATGGGTTATATTTTTTTATAATTCAGTTATTTCCATCACTGCACAAGTCATACTCTAGCCTCAGTTGACTTGATCGCTGAAATTCGTAGCTGGATTTCATGTAGTATACTCCAAGATTTATCATCGTTATTATGCTTGGTCAACCATCTTCATGATATTTAACTTTATTTTATTCAAAATTTACATAGTTGCATTAATCTATTCATTTTATTCATTTTCTTGTTCACTTATATAATGAATGCTTTATTATCATCAGTTTCAACTTGTTTTTAATTCCGAGTTGCTATGATTATTTAATAAGTTAGTTAATATTCTTATCTGAAACGAAATATTTGTGTGTCGTTTTGTGATTGGCTATATAATAACTAGTTGTTATCTGATTGGTCTATAAAATTGCCTATTTATTTGGCTGATCTCATATAAAGACTTAGAATTTAGTTGAGGGAATAGTCGTTTTTAGCAGTATATTTAATTTTTTATATTAAATGTATGTTTTTTTCATTGTAATTTCACAAGTGAAAGTCCATAATGGTCAAATATGACAATTTAGAGAACATGTAGGTGATTTGGTGTAATTATTATTTCAACCTCGGTTTCGGACTTATAAACTGTTAACGATGCTGATACAAAGGGCTGCGTTGATATTTGCTCTTATCAGATATATTACTACGCATAATAATGATAATAATTATCTATGGCACATTAATGCATTCTGTCGATGTATGGTTGATGTTCAAGGTCATCTTGAGTAAAGAATACGAGAAATCTACTGGTAATTGAAAGCAATGGTAAGACGTACATACACATAGGAAAGTGCGTAATCTTGTTTCGATAGAGGATTTATGTTAGATTTACGGGTTCTTGGGTCGATTAGTACATATAAGATCTGCGATTTATTTAGGCTGGGTTTGAACAATATCGCGATGTGTTATCAGACTGATTCAATCTCTCAGAACATCAATCTTCGGAGATTACTAGATGATAGCCAGAAGTGCGTTAAATATCGACCAGCGTCTGCTGACCCTATATGTAAGGAAAAGATCTCTTCTCAGGAATCCTATTTTACTGTGCACACACCAATGTGATTACTTCTTCAGAACAAAGAATTACTCATTTTGTCAATTTTCTTTTAAAAGATGGTGACATTCGAGAATTATTTTCTTACAATCCCGTTTATATTCATCAATAATAACCAAAAAGTAATAAGTTGGATGCATTTGGTTTCAAATTGTTTTATTTACTTGACTGTGAATACCATTATACTAATTAATTGATACTTGCAATTGTTTTAGGTCATTGAACAACATTAAGCTTCCTTCTTGCTCAGTTCAGCGTAAAAATAGTGACAGCGGTAAGTGAAATAAGTTTTTTAGAAGAGCCTTTGTTTGAATAATATGATTTCTCCCATTTGTAAAATTAACAAAATTTTTATCATCACCGATTCGTGTACTTAATGTAGGTAGTAAATCGTGATGTGGACAGATTATCGGTAACATATTCAGATGCGTTATTGAAAAATGTCAAGATACATGGATTGTTAGAAAGTAAATATCTGTACTGCATACTATTCTTCTGTCCTATTCATTGGGTGTACGATATATCCAGTAAGAAAAAAAGATTTGTTGAGGTAACAGGTAGTAGGTTATGGGTGTCCTTAAAGGAATGTTAAAGATAGGTATCCGGTTTTAGATTGAGAGGGTGTTAAGGAGTAAGTTTTCTGCGTGTGAAGCGAAATTTCGATTGTTGAAATTGATGAATGAAATACCAATCGAGGGATGAACGCAATGATATAATGGGACCGAGTAATGGGTACCAGACGGTATAATTCACCTAGGCCCCTTAATGATTAGAAGTCAACAACGAGACCAATAGCCAGATGAATAATTTTCCACGTGGTAATTAATATGCTGATATGCAAAATATGAACACAAAATAAACAATAAAATGTCTTAGGCGATTGGGGGAAATGAGCATGTACGTCATTCATTCTCCAATCATTTAAGACCTGAATGATAAGCCTAATCATTGAGCATCGTAGCAGAGGGTAAGCTAGTTTATGGTTTTATAAACTTTCAATGGTTGAGCATTTACCTAGGGAGATGTAAAGTTCTTATATGTCATTGAAATGATAAGTGTTTGGAAATGACAGTTATTATGGCTCAGCATCGATCACATTAATGCTTATTGACCTACTCTATGTCTCTTATGTTCTTAATATTCTATTAACTTCATACAATTTTTCTCATTTATAAACTTGAATAAAAAAGAGCAGATATCATAACAGAATAACATGACTTCACTTATTTCATGGATCCTCCTCATTTACTTACAACCTAAAACCGTATCATTACTCATTAAAACAAAACAAATACATGTTTTTTATATCGGAAACGTTTACAGTGAATTTAGTTAGTATGTGAAGATAGAATAATATTAAGAGACTAAAATACGGACGAATTAATATTGTTCAAAGTCTGCTTATTTGCAGGTTAAATATATGAGTATTCTAGAGGATCATCGTAACAGATATTTGTTCTCGAAACCAAAGATAGATTATATAACGTAGAATAGTTGAGTGAATCTCAGAAGTAAGAATTAAGATATTAGAAATTCTAATGGTTTTAGCAGCTGAGGCGAATCTATAAATAAATGAATTCTTATTATTCAGTTACGATATTTGTTCTTTCTTTATATCTGAGGGTTATTACTCAGTCATAGAAAAACAAGTGAGGAAAGATTATAGAATACAACTACAAATTAATAATATTCATCAATCTCAAACTATTACAACAGAACGTAAGTTTATCTTAGAAGCAGTTAATTCAGAAAATCGAGCTTTTGACTAAAAATAGTCCACCGATCATAAAGTACTAGTAGTTTGTATTGACAAATTGTATTCGACTCTGTTACTTCGATGCAGTTTACATCACAAAGTAAAATTTATAATCAGAAGACCGTAATCAAACATATTTTTAACCTTGTTTCCTTGAGAGTAATGATTTATTATACGGGTTAGCTTTTGTTAACTGGCTAGTAAATGTATACGTTAAACTTTAGATTCATATGAAATGAAGATGCGGAATTCAGCAGACTTGTGGTAGTTTTCAATTTTGTCATGAATAATTGTTGTGACGTTAAATATTTTTAAACTGAAATGAAATTAGTGCTTTTTTCATCTATGATTTATATAAGTTTTTACAAGTTTTGATACGCCTGAAGTAATCGGGGGGATTTTACCTAAAATTTCTTCGCTGGACCTGGATTAATTTTTATGTGTATCAATGTTTCCAATTTTAACTGAGATTAACATATATGTTTGTATTCGTGCAGTCATGTGCTTGTTTGTTTGCCAGTGCGTATGCAAACATGAGTACATATAATACTTCACCTGTCCTTCACGTGGTTTTGATGTTAATTGTCTGTAGTCATTACATCATTTGATATTGCGATCGTCATTAATATCAGTGAAGTGGAACTACAGTTTAAGTTAGTTTTAACTTCTTCAGCTAGTGAAGAGTCAGATATTTTACTCGATTTTGCTTTTTTCTCCTTTCTTTCTGTTTCATTTAAATAAAGTGATATATTGCAATTAGTGTCTACTGAATTCATGTTTTGGTGTATTTAGTAAGAGTTCCTTTTTGAAAACATTTTTGGGATCCTCTGACATTCTCAAATGGATTTCCCAGTTCAGTTTACAGTACTGTATTATACAATCCAATATAATAGTGTTAACTGTATGTACACATATAAAATGTACTCTACAGTGGTACAGTTGACTATTTTAAACAATGTTATCCTATTCAAGTCAGTCAGTTATATTGATCTTTAACGCAGGTTACATTTCCTGGAGCAAACCATTTATCAAACATTAATAAAAGTGGTTAGTTTGCCAACTTTATATGAAAGTTTTGATATAAAAAATATTTTAGTCAGAAATAAGAGTTAAGAAATAGTAGCTAAAGAAAAATCACGAACACTCTAGTGAGTAATAATGCAGGAATATAAAAGACAGCTGACCTCTATTAAAGGTCATCTATTCAATCTTGTGAATTTATCGTTTTGTGCTCATTTCGTTTTGGATATATGTATATAATTACTTGTAGACATTATGGACACAAGGTTTATCACTTGTCTGTTGGAAAATATATTTGGTCAGTTAAGTTCTCTCCATAATCCTAACAGGATGTGACATTAGTATGTTTCTTCGTGAAACTCTTCGTTTCCCGACACACTTGTTTACCTTATTAATCATTAAATAAAGGGGTTTATAAACTGGTAGAATTCTTTCTGAGTACCCTATTACGATAACATGATCTACTCGGTTTTTATTTTTCATTAGAGTTGGCCCTTTGTCACATAGTTTCTAAACCAAGAATGAAGTTGCATGAGCTTTTTCTCTAGGTATACTCACAAATAATGTATTCACCCCTTATTTTAAATATTTAACTGTTCGGTACATTTAATTACACTTTATTTACTTGCTTTTTATTACCTCTTTCTTATTGTCCTTTATTGTTGTTGTAACTTTACTTTTCAATTCGTCGGTATTCTTATGTTAAGATGTTGCAACTTAGACTGAAATACATTTAATTCAAGCATTATATTGTTTCTATCTAATGTGGAAAGTGCTCTTTAATTTGTCACAACGGTTGTCATTTTTGCTCAAATAGACTTGCCCATGTAAAAAAGAAAGTAAACCCAATTTATGGAGAAAAACTGTGTTATTCAAATTTATTAAATCAGCGTTTCTTCCATAAACTGAATTATGGAGTTTGGTCTCATTTGGAATTCCGTTACACAAAAGACTTATTACCGTGATAGTAGTAACAATTACAACTAATGTTAAAATAGTAACTTATAAAGATACTATTTTTATTATTGATAGAGAATATATATAGCACTTGGTGCATGCTTGTTCAAAAATAGAAAAGTGATAATGTAGTTAATTTATGATTTATTCATCTTTATATGAATAACGTAATAATAAATTCTTTGATCATACCACTAAAATATACAGGTTAAATTCTCTCAAGGTAGCACCAAGTTTCTTCCAGGATCACCTCTATATTTCGCTGTTTAGTGCAAATACATATAACAGGGTAGATTAAAATTGTGTTCAAGAAGAAAATATCAAATGTAAATAAACTTTCCCTGGTTACTGTTTTAATTTAGCTTGTGATTTCTATGTTAAATCTTAGAATCAATCTAAACAGTTGAGTATCGGTTTTTCACTGTTTTACTAGTGTTTACATATTGAGGAGCCACAATTAATTCATTTAATAGTTGCAAATGGTGAACATTTCTCTAAGTCTTTACGCCATAAATGAATACTGTTGAAAAACCAGTTTTTCACCTGGTTACTAATACTACAAATTAATAACCAAAGTAAACCTAGTGTCATTGGCCTGAAGTTATATTTATCGTGTTAAGTGTCACGGTTTTACTAAGTATTAGCTACCTGTTGTGTGTGACTTGATTACCACACAGTTCAACAGAATGAATCAACAGAACGAGAACAAACAATCAGATTTTCAGTGTCTCACATCATTTATTTACCCTAAGACCAATTCGAATAAGGAGTTAAGTGAACACCGAAGAGTATAATTATCTCTACTTTTGATGATTGTACAGTGAAAAATATATAGGTATTCTAGATAAGTGAGACCAGGAAAATCTAAGAATGTGGTTCAGATTTTTAGAAGGAATAATTTGAATTTTTGAGCTTAGTTTAATTAAAATCTTCAGTACGATGAATTGAAAAGTTATCCTTTTGGAAGTTGGTTGTAGTTGAGCACTTAGGTAGTGGAACACTACGGAATCTCGATTATTTGAAAGTTTGGTTTTAATCGGTTACTCAGTCATTCATCATTAACCTAGAGCCTGGAACATATGCATTGGCTCAAGTTGCCACACCATATCAGCACAATGAGATGAAATTCACATGACGAATATAAAGAGAAATCGAAGTAATGTAGTAACAATAACAAGAAGAAAGGATAACCATTGAGAATATAGTTCGAAAGACAGTGGAGAGGTATGTATGAAGGAAAACTGGAATTCAAGATATGAAGATAAGAAGTGAATGTATTTACAATTGACTGATCACTGGTCGTTGGTCAATGTCATATGTGTCAGGTCCTTCTTAGTGAAGATCGAACCTAGGCTAAATCTAAACTGTCACCAGAAGTCTGCAGCCACTGATAATAGTTATTACAAGGGCCCCAACTGGGTAGTCTGCATCTACTAGAATGTCTTGGACTGAGAGTTAATAACTTTATGAACCAATACTATGCATTGGTTAGGACGTTCCTGACTTCCAATCTAGTCCTATTTCAGCAAATATTCCCTATTGGGGTAAGCCATGAACAGGCATACGGGACCCATGTGCTAATCACCTCAGTCGATGAAAATTCACTACCTCATCAACTAGTTTCACGCCTTCGGTGAATACCTGACGTTTAATCTCAACATTGTTCACTTGGTGATTCTATAAGACTTGAGTAATACTTCGAAGACACCTATAATCAAAAAGCCTCATCCTACGCATATATCTTATTTCCAAAGACCGTGTTTCCCGCCCATAAAGCAATGGAGAGCGGACTACTGCGAAGTGTCGGCTACTCGATGACTTCACGTCGAGTGTTTAGACTGCTGTTATTTTTTAAAAATAGTCTTTTCAACTCCCTTAGCACACCTGGAAATGATCAGTTTTTATGCTTTTCAATTTCAGTAATTCAACTGGTATCACTTCTTAACAGTTAATAACTACTAAATATTCAAAATAGTGAAATGTCTGTTGAGCGACTAAATCACTTGACTTTCATTCAATAAACAACAAATTCAAACCCTACATCATCTAGTTCAGTTTATGTAGTCAGATAGTGTTATAGGCCTTTAAAAAAACTATGGTTGGAAACTGAATACATGAAAGTTTCCACAACTTAAATGTATGATTTGAGAATAATATATAGATAAAAAGTGCACTTTATCTTTTGTTGGCCTATTAAGTACATGCAAAGAATATACGTCTGGTCAAAATATACATCTACTTTAATCGTGAACATTTTGTTTGGTTTTTCTCGCTTTCTCATATCGTATGTATTTACGGCATGAAAGCACTTTTAATATCTAGTGAATAGATTTCATTAGTTGTGATCATGAAGGAAAGGAGAAAGGTCACTTTAATGATGGATATAGAAATTACCCATACACATTCTATAGAATGACCTTTAAATAGATGATCAGCATACTAACAGCTAGGATTGGTTTATAATTATTCTCATTATAATAGTGACAAAAATCCATAGGTTTGTACTTTTTGATAGTTATTGAACACGTCTAAGCTTACTGTTGATTCAAAGGTAAAAATGCTTCCACCTTAGCAGTTATAACCTTCAACTCATCATAATCATTGTTCCTTAACGTCTCTCTGCACCTTAGTGATTAGTTCCATTGACAATCACCTATTTGTTCGTAAAATATAAAGTAGTTTCAAACGAAACAGTTTATGGAAATTATGTTGACTTAATCGTTTCATGTAAATATGAAGTTGGATTGACCTGTTCACTGCAATCACTTAAATACTATCACGTATTTCTATGGAATACTATTACATATTATTATTTATGGGTTGTTATAGAACCTTCACTTACCATAATTATAAAATCATCATTATTGAATAGTAACGTATCGAGGTAGTATTTTATGTCAACTTTCGCTTAAATTTGAACGAATAGTTCCACATTAGTTGTCGGGGTTCAATGAGTTTATACTATTTGGTTACTTAAATTAAAGTGTATAGAACGGTTTTTGGAGTATCCAAACCAGTGGTTGAAAATGAAGTATTTTATTCACTTATACATAAAATTATCAATTATTGTATTGATACGGTAAGAATTGTGTAGATAAGTTTTATTACATTGCAATAGTTGTATACATTTGACAACCTACGTTATTTTCATATGTATGCATTTTCTCATTTTTCTATATTTTCTAGTGGATCAAACCTCATTACTTGTTCGTATAATTGGTAAAGTGAGTAATACCTTCTTTATCCTGATTTTAGTGTTCATGTAATTTATGAATGAATTGTGTATTTATATACTAAATTCTCATTTAAATTTACTATAAAAAGACTAGGAATATTACTGGTCTGTTCAAATTTAAATATTTTCGATCTTTTCAATGTAAAACAAATGGTTTATATCAGTAGAGTGGTTGTGGAGACTGCTGAGGAGTCCCACAATAGGACGAAACGGCCGTCCAGTGCTTCCAGGTTTTCAATGGTGGTCTAACATCAATCGGTTCATGACCTCAATCAAAATAGTTTATAGTTTTACAACTAGTCTGTTAAATTTCTTCTAAATTACATTTTTTTTCTAATTTGGTCATTGACTGTATAGGCTTTTTCTTCTTAAATGTTATATGATGAGATAACTTTTGTTCTTATTATCGGTAGATCACTTTCATGATGATAATATAACTAGTACAAAATCTGACAACAAATAAATTCACCGTGGAATTCGTATTATTTTTGTTTTTGTAACTTACGTCTTGATCATTATTACAGCTTAATACGGTTACACATCTTATTCATCTAAACATACCTACATCAAAGGAATACAACTAAAAGAATTAAATAGTGGGAGTCTTAAGGATATTTTTTTCTCTCTTAAAAATAACTAACTGAATACGTTGATGTTGCATTTTTAAAAGATACGACATATCTTGTTAACGAGAAAAATGTATGTCATATATTCTAGTAGTTCACAATCTAAAATTCAGATTTTTATAAGCAGATGTAGAAAGATCTATTTAAGGTAATTGTAAATAATAAATGAAGTAAAACAATTAAGAATCAGTCAAGTTGTCGGGCTGTTATTACAATTAACTATTGAATCTTGACCTTGGTCAGTTAGAAGTTATCTTTAATAGCTCTGATGTTTGTATTCTTTTTAATGGTGAGAATGATGAATCGACTTGATTGAATACGTGAATAGTTTATCATCATAACGATTATCGTTGTAATATTTAGTTCTACTCTTAATCAGTTAACCTGTCTGCTAATAAATCAGTTTAGTTGTATGAAGAGGAAGTTAAGTGAAACTGATTTAAAAATTATACACAAAAATCTAATTAGTGGATCTATCTGTGAATAATATTTTCTCGTATATTTGTCTGTTTCTATTAAGCATTTCAGTGGAAAACATAAAAATTTTATTTGCTTTATGCCAAAAGTAATTCCAATTTACCATATATATATATGCTTGATATATATAACAGTATTACAAGTTATTACCATTTCACACTAAGCAATTTCGGAGTAAGACAGAAACTATTGGGTTGAATTCTGCTTGAGGTTATAAGTGTACATTAGAATATAATGGTTCTTCAGTACTCTCTGAACTTCAGTGAATCAGGTTGAGATTACTTAGTGATGACAATAATCTTGATCATTATGTTTTGTTTATGAATTGTTTATCATATTGGAATGACTACACTTTTTTAGGGAAGCTAGGAATCATTATCAACAGTTCATCATGTTTCTTTTTTCACGGTATCATTGTTTAATTTAATGCATTGAATTACTTGAACAAATAGATTATTTTTTAAATGTAGAAAATTTTCACAATGGTACGACAGTTCATTCAAATTGTCACATATTCAAACGTTAAACAAAGAATAAAAAATTTTTATTCAGTGGACAAAAGGAAATACATATATATATATATATATATATATATATATATATATATTAACAAATTGTTTGAAAAATAAAATTAATAAATTCGTTTACACTATTGTGAATAATTTTGGATAGAACTGTAGTTTAATGGCTAAAGCATTTCAATTTCAACTATTACATTTTGCGTACACGATAACAGTCACACAAATAACTGATTTAAGACTTATACGACGTAAACTTGAATAACACAGTTCAAATAAATGGTTAACTTGTTTAATGAACTAGTATCTAAGCGCTTTTCCTCAAGTATCTTCGTGAAACCTTTTAGTGTTGTGTATTTTTACCGTATCTGATTCACTAATGAATGTTTATGTCTTAGTTATATCTGTGAATATCATGGACTAATTATGAAATGAAATTCAGTTATATATATCTAATTGTCTCTGATTAAAGATTCTATAGTAAAGAAACTGTCAAATCATTCTAGTCAACCAATGTAAGTGATAACTTGTATTGAACAAAAAAAAAACACTAACAACTTGGTTCACTGATTCTACCTTATTTATCTAAACTTTTACATGTAATCTAGTTTTTTTATTTGTTGCTTATTTAATACTTTTAAAATATCAAAGAAAATAAATACTTCTAACATGTTCAGATTGTCTACATTCACTGGTCATGTTACATAATCAACTATATGTCGAAAGCAATCTTATTATTCCACTATACAACTACCTCTTTGATAGGTCACATCATATGTGGTGTAAATTCTAAAACACCAACCAATCATATTATTCAACCATTACACTATTTCTATCATGTTAAAAAAATTGTGAAAAGTTCTCCTTGTACTTCTGTAAATTACACTATATATATATATTTCTAATTAATTTCAGATTAAAATCATTCACTTTTTAATCGATTATTTGTATTAAATAAAAGCAAGTTAAAGAGAACATCATGCCTGTCTATTTTTCTAGAGTAATAATAGTAGTAATAATAATTAATTAATTACCAATATACATTTATTTAAATGTCCTTGAATTTTAATCAATGAGAAATCTTTACTTTTCTATGTCTATATAAAATTAAGAAAGTTAAATTAATTTATGAAATTTGTGTACACTTTGTTACTAATAATAGACGCGTGAATGACCACATACATACATAGATATGTGTGATGCTTATGTGTTACAAGAGTACGTGTTTTTTTGTGCAATATATAGTTGTTGAAAACGAGAAGAGTTAAATTTAATTGTTTACTATTACTTGTCGATTTATTTATTATGACTAACATTATCATTTAGTATTATTTCATTAGTTTTAAATATTGATAAATTTATGATTCCTTTGATCTTATATCTATCTATCTATCTATCTATCTATCTATCTATCTATATATATATATATATATATATATATATATATATATATATATATACCCTATAGGTTAATATTATACTTTCCTAATTGTTATGATCAAGTGATTACAAGGTTTTCAGACTTATATTTAGTTTTGTGCCAAATTAACAATCATAAACAGTGTTGATTTAATAAAAAAAATATTTCAATGATTTTAACGCTGAATTCTTAACGATTAAGCTATTGATTAGGTGGAGTTAATAATTAGAAAGTGCAATAATTTAAATGGATAATTTTTTGTGTACTCAGGAGAAAAAATGGAGTAAAGTATATCTATAGCGTATAATGGATGTTCGATATTTTCCATTGAATACGAAATTAAAGTCCAAGCTGATTTAGTAAATAGTTGAGAAATAAGTTATGATTAGTTGTGTTTAACCATGCTAGAAAATGTAGTAGATATCACCGATTGTAGTGGAAATTAATTGTGCAGTTTATCACGAATTCATTGACGTTAATAATAGTGATCATTGGGCCCCGAATCAGTTGTCTAGACGGTTATCATTTCGAAGTTCAATATCATGGGAGGTTGTGGGTGGAGATCAATGAATGACAAACTAGAACAAACCAGCTGTTTTCCATGTTTTTCCAACTGATATCAGTCTCTTATGAAACCTTAATTTTAAATGTGTTGTAGTTCTATACAGTATTGAAAAAGTTAGATACGAAGTAATAAAATACTTTTGGAAAATGCTGAAATCTCATCTCAACTTCCATCATGTCATTTAATATTTTATGCTAACTCAGCCAGGTTTCTTAAAGTTAATATTATTGCTACCACTAGTTTTTTGTTTGTTTTAAAGTTGACCTTGAAATTTTGTTATATAGTACAGTTCATATTACTTTATTTTGGAAAACAAATACACTAAGGTCATGTTTTATTTATCATAGACTAAGTTGTTATGTCTCAATCTGTACATGTTCTTTTTGAATCGCAACTTTTTATCGTTTAATGTTCTATTCGTATTAAACTATGTTATAGAATGGATAATATATTGTTTTCATCCATTTAATTTCCATGACCTCCTCTTATTATTTGGTGACCATAAAACCATTTAAGTGATATTTCTTGTTGTCATGGAATTTGATGTGTACGATTTTTTTAAAAAAAAGAATTACATTTAGTCCAGAAAAAAAGAAATAATGATCGATTTTATGGATCCGTAACTCGAAGACAATTTTCGTTTGCATTTTATGGAATATGGATTCAGTCAGTCAATCAGTCATAAGCAATGTGAAACTTAGCACATATATGTATCGGTCCAAATTACCACACTGTTTGCACAATGCGAGTGCATTAGGAAAACAAATACCAGAGTAGTGGGATTAGTAATAGTATCAGCGGTAGTAGAAAAGACTGAGCATAGATAATATGATTCGAGAAAAAAGTGTGAATTCGGAGAATAAAAGTGTAAGATAATTCTAAAACACAATATCTAGTGGAAAGAGTGAAAGGTATGTACGCCACTGGGACCGATTCTGTGCCATGTCTCCCACCATTGGTTACGATAATTGCGAGGACATCAGCCAGTTAGGCTGCCCACACCAACGTTTCTATAGTCAATGACTTCATAGACTTGTACTGCATATTGGTTTGACCACTCCTATTTTCCATCTAACCTAATTCTACATAAGCAAATATCACACATCGAGTTAGTCAATGGTTGAGGATATATAGCACATATCCCCTCCACATAGTTTGTTGATTAACTTAAAAAGATACTTTAGGTTATTAGATCACAGAAAATGATTAAGATGTCATTACTTAACAGTTTGTTTAGTAATTAATTAAACTTATGTAATTGTGATTCTCATAACTTGGATAGTCTGACCTGTTTTTATAAATATGTGTGATTTTTAACTACTGTAATTTTCCATTCAAATTATCCCATTAAGTCTGTTATTCTTATTGTAAATCACTTGATTA